CAGTCCTGCTGCCGGACTTTTTACGGGCTCTGTTCTAAGGCTACAAAGAGTCCGTGCGAGTTGTCCTGCTTTCCCGGAGCCCAGGCGGCTGCCGAGAGCGTTTTGGGGGGCCGCCGGCAGCCGGCTCCGACTCGACTCTCCTGCTGCAGGCGCTGGGAAATGCCCGGAGCGCCGAAGCGGGGCCCGCGGTGCCAGGGCTGCTCCTCTGCGGCCAGAAGGGAACCGCACGGCCCAGCAGCCCATGCCTTGGACAAGGCCTTGCAAGGGCTTCATCCAGACAACTCTCTGGTTATACAGAACATGCCCCGGGGTTCGGTTTCTTCCAGAAATGCCCCGTTGGTGGTTGCAAGGCATCAAGAGCTGAAGAACTGCCCCTTTTTTGGGGCAATGTGGCCCTTYGCTCGGCCATTCCGGGCTTTATCCTCTAACCTCGTGTTCTTGCTGTGCCTCGCTCATGTAGCTGGATACTGCATGGGGCTCGCTGACCTTCCCACCCCTCCAAATGGAAAGCTAGAGCAGATCCCACTGGTGGGCACTGCCTCCCACCTGGAGTCCAGGTCGGATGTGGCCTTCAGCGCAGTTTCACCAGGGCTCACGGCCCAAGATCCCATCTCCAGCAGTGGCTATGGGTGTACAGACCTGGCAGCACAGCCTACCTTGCCAGTTCACTCTCCTGCCTGTCAGCCACACACAGCCCAAGTACTTACAGAGCCGCCGGTTGTACCTGCAGCCCAGCACCTAATAGCCCTTGATGGACCATTTGTCTACAAATTTCTCTAATTGTTTATTGCAACCTTTTATATTTGTGGCATCTTTAACATCCTGTGGCAACAAGTCCCACAGTTTTATTGCATATTTTATAAAAAAAAGGACTTCCTTTTGTTTAAGGAATTAAGCCCAATTGCTTCATACGATGCTTCTCTAGCTCTCGGGTGCCAACCAAGGTGCCCCAGCTTGGTCCCCATCCCCGCAACCCAGGATGCAACCCTGGGAGGACTGATCTCCAAGAGGAACCAGTCATCACTGAAGAAAATAAATAGTTTGCTTTCCAAAAGAGCCCCCCAGTTTTCCATTTTCTGCGTGTCCACCTTGTAGTGTTGAAGATCCTGCCGTAGCAAAAACACCTAAGCACCCGCTTAACTGTAGGCGAGGCAGCCGCCCTGCCAAACCCACCGCGTGGCGCGTCTGCTCACCGGGCTGTCGATGAGCAGCGTGCGTCCTCCGCCCCAAGGACAGGCTCTAACGGGTGAGACCTGGCACCCGGACCCTCCGCAAGCTCCAGCAGCCCCGTGCGCCCAAGCAGCACAGGGAGGTGCCGCGAGAGCCGCTGCGGGGGAGCTCGGTGCTAGGAGCGCAGGGCGGCACGGCGGCGGTTCCCCGGCACGCGGCACCGCGCCAGGGCGCTCGGCAGCCTCCCTGCCCCGCTCTCCACCCCGCGCCACAATATAGCCACACCGCTCCCCAGAGCAGAAATAGCACGGAGCTCTTCTAAGAGATTTATTTCCCTCCAGGATTAAGAGCTGCTCCAACACGAACCGGAACGACAGGAGACCTTGGAAAGCTTCTTCCCACCTGGCTATGGGACTGGACAACCGGCCTAATTGGCACGTGCTGCCGCAGGCTTCTCTCTAGAGAAGAATAATGAAACGAGGAACAAACCCACCTGAGAGACCCACCATCCTCTTCCCCGGGGAACGTGAGCAAGAGCCTAGCACTGAAGCCAGCTTCTCCAGYGGGCTGTCATTTCTCATTCCCACAYGTAGGGCCTCTTCCATTCCCTAAGGATTTCCCTGGGAATTATCACATAGCTCATCCCCCGAGATATTTGCACCAGCACTCGCAGCACAGCCAAATGCAGACAATCCACATCTCGTGCAGTGCACTTCCTTAAGTAACACAGTACAATAGTCTGCCCAGATTCCAGTGTAATCTAAAAACAACTTTATGGCTTCTAATTTTAGCGCTAATCTTCTTTTGCCATGGTTCTGTGATTTCTAATTATTTTATCCCCAAGCTTTGCTCTGACGGATAATTGTACCTTTTCCAATACAGAGTGGTATAGTGCCTTTAAAAAATATGCTGATCATTTCGGGTTAATTTCCAGTTCCTACACAAATAATATCCTCATCTATGGCTTCACTAGGGAAATATTATTATTACTAAAATAATAATAATAAAAGCAATGCAAATTTAAAATTTATTTTTCAGACAATCCCAACATGATCCCGCAAACCCTATACTTCTTCTTTAAAGTTGTTAAAGGACATAAATCCGTTATCCAGATCCAGATCGCTCAATAATTTAGTGCCTTTGGCTTGGCATCGTTCCCGGAACATTTTGCCTCTCTCTGTCTTTATTTTCAGGTTGCAACAAATTGAGGCATCACCGGCTGTGTTGAAATCTTGGAGAGACTTGGCGAGGGGCTGCGGGAAGCGGCGCAGGGGCCGCGGCCGCGCTCGGCCGGTGCACGTGCCGGCACCGGCACGAGGACGGGACAGGAACAACGAGGCTGCAACCACATTTTCCCTTTGGTTTTGACTCATGCAGCAGTTCTGAACGGCTTCTTGCCTCTCCCTGAGCCTGCCTCATTAAAGGTCCCCGAGGTGTATGAATCAGCGGGCAGCCCGCACCCCGGGGAAGGCTATAGAAAACGCACGCGCTTTGATATTGCCACATTTTTGCTTTGACAAATAAATCAGGACAGGTTCAGCTTGGCATAGGTGTAATTACCAGGGAAAGGGGGGCCACGCAACATTCAGACCGATGAATGCAGCACCACAGACCTATATATGTACCTAGATTAAAGGTGCACAACACAGGGCTGCGCGTGGTGCTGCTGGCACCAAAGAGAAGCATTGGCATATTCTAGTTTTGGGGCAAATCCTGATCTTAAATGTGATGCTCTCAAATTTGCACAAGGGTTTGGTGGGAGGAGGACGTCGCTTGCAGAGAGTGTCAGGTTGCTGAGACAGGTCAGCATCCAGGACACGCATCCAGGAGCATCCTCGGCTGCCTGTGCACAGAGCTGCGGGGCTGCCGGGGCGCCTGCAGCCACCGGGCACTGCRGGGACACAGATGAAGGCACGCTGCGTGTTTGCATTTACTCTGCCCTCCTCATAAACCAGGCAATTGGAAAACATCCATCTGACCTGTGACATTTTTGTTTTAGCTACTCTCCAAGTTTTGACAGCAGCAATTTAAACACAGAGCATGCGAGCACAAGCACTGAAAAAAYGTCCCGTCCCCATGAATCCAGTGTGGACGTGAAAAAATATGTCACAGCCTTGATGGTGAACACATTTCTCTTTTCCCATTCTTCACTTTCCTTTCTTTCCCTTTCTGAAGGTTTCAACCTTCATGTCATCTCCCTCCCCATGGGAAACTCAAGCTTAGCTCCCCCCCAGCCACAGTTTTCACAGAGAAGGACATGGGTTGTGTTTCTCCTTTTTTTTTTCTTTTTTTAATCTTCTGTACAATGCTCTGCATAGACTATTTGAAATGGAGACTGTCAAAACAGGAAATAATCCAGTCAAAGTCCTCAGGCCTRGGTCCCGAAAATGTCACTGTTCAGAGCTACGACTGCATGAGAACGGGGCTCTGTTGCAGCAGGGATGGAGGGTGTCCTGGCAAGGGGAGTCAATAATATGTGATCTACTATCATACCCCTGAACTGCTGTTCTTCCTTCCTCCCGATCTCAAGAGCTGGGGTTTAGCCTCTGCTGAAATCAGTGGGAAGTTGCTTTTTTTCTTTATGGAAAAATCTAACAGATGGGGTTAAAAATTACAGTCTTCTACTGGCTGACACTTTCAGTAGCATATGGAATTTAATAAAGCATATACACTTGCTCAGAAACCCAACCTGGCAAGAAAATCATTCATTCTTAGTGCTTCAGAGTAACATTCATACATAGCCCTGTGCTGGCTTCATTTTTATTCAGTTCTCCAGGCCCTGAATTTCTGCTGGTGCTGCTGGGCTGGAAGAACAAACGCAGGACCTGCCCCTGCCTCCAGTGCCTCCAGTGCAAGCCCAGCATTGGGCTGACACCATGGGGATGCAGAGCAGGGTTCAGGTTTGTTTTCCAAACAGGCTCTTTGCTTTCCCTCTATCCACCTTGGAGCAAACATTCAAAAACCACGAGGAAGATGGTCAAATGGATAACACTGAAACCAGGTTCAGAAAAGAGAGGGCAGTTGCTGTGTAGACAGGTAAATAAAGGTAAGATTTTTACCATTTTTATACTCAAAACCAGACTCCTGTACTCAGAGGTTTTGAACATTTCTTAAAACTCTGGTCTGAACAAGATTTTGATGGGAGAGATTTTTTTTAGTGGTTTTACAGCTTTCTCCAAGTTAAGGTCAGGGTTGCTTCCCAAACAGAACAGCTGTTACCCACTGCCAGAACGGTGGTCAAGAAATTCCTTCTCTGGAAGTAAAGGAGATGTTTCATGTTGGGGAGAAGTGATGTGGTCGTGATTTCTTTGGAAAAGAAATTATTATGGTAGCGTCAAACCACTGATCTACAGAGTGACAACATTCAGGAAAAAAAATTAAAAGAAAAGTCATTTAGCCAGGAAAATTCTGTCGCTCTGATGCATCTGGCTCCCAGCAACAGCCTCTGCTCCATCAATGTCCAGGCAAATTAACCAGCAGGAGGATATATTGTGGTAGGTGAACAAATCCAATGGGATTTGAACAAAACCTGGTGTTTTTGTCCAGCCACTGGAATCTATCAATTCTCATGTGGCACCACAGTCATCTTTGAGGCCTAGAAAAATGAAATCCTGGTGCACTCAGGTCCATCAGTCCAMAGGAACTGAATTCCTCGGTGTTGGCTGAGATATTCATTTGTCACGGGGCTACACACGGTTACAGAAGCTAAAGAGAAGGGGTTAACAGACTGGAGAGGGAACTGGACACCTCGGAATATYAATACAGACTTCCTGCCTGATGCAGAACATCAAATCTCACCCATAACCTGTACAGAGACTCACAATAATTACCTAGGACCGGATCCTRAAGGGTGCTGAGTGCAGTCAAGTGGTCTCAGTTCCCATAGAGTTGGGTCTCTCCGAGGTTCTCAGCAGGATCAGCCTTTGAGCCTGGACAAAATAAGACAGAGTGATATTAGCTCAGTCTACRTTAGGCCAAACCTGCATGCCACTAATGACAAAATCACACGTCAGCTCCACGTATCAGCCTTGTACTCCTACATGGAGAGCTAGAACAAGACCTTGGTGATGGTCAGTGCTCCCTGGCCTAGAGGCATTCGCTGTAGATCAGGGACGGGTGCCAGGGGTACCCGGGAGAGATGATGGTGATGGATGCAACCGCCGAGCTTCCACTCACATCCAGATCCGTCCAGATTATGTTCTTCAGGAGCCTCCACGTGCCCTCACACATGGATCCACGCGCTGCAAACACAGGCCCCGAGCAAACACACCTCCCTAACACAASCATCACCCCAAGGCTGCCTTGCCAAGACTGACAGCACCGATAAACCTGGAGAGAGATAAGCTCGCTGGGTTGCCAGCAAGGAAGCCCAGAAACACGCCCCAAAATCAGAGCAGATCAGCCCAGAGCAGGCACGGCCATGCCAGGAGGGACGGGGATGGGGACAGGGACGGGACGGAGCCGCTGCTGTCTCCAYGGCTCTTTGTTTTGAGACGTCCCCTGAGACGCCTGGTCCGGGGTGGCCAAGTCCTCCTTCTTGTTCCCCTATAAGGGGCACGACGAGGGAGCAGAACAATGTTCTCTCCTCACTGCCCTAATAGAAAGACAAAAGCGCAGCGATCCCGTCCAAGAGCATCTTTTGAGGAGCACACGACGGAGCCCAAAGGCCCAGTACTCCTATTTATCCATGTCTGGAGGAATTCCAGCCTGRCAGGGTCTTTCCGTCCTTCCTTGAGGCTCTCAGAGGAGTCATCCCCAGTGGCAGGGGCCCAGGACACAGCATTGGGTGGCGGGTGAGTCACCAGGGACCATCAGGGCCCTGAGAGCTCCTTGGGAACCACGGCCCCACCAAAAGCCATTCCCGCTTGGGAGGGTCATCACCTGCCAGGCTCACATCCCGCCAGGATAAAACCAGGACAAGGCCTCTTCTTGCTCACTAAAAAAGCAGAAAGGGGATTTCTGCCTTGGAAAGGCAATCCTTCTGCTCATGGAAAGTCCCCGACCGTCCCACAGCCACGGAAAAAAACTGGAAACTACCACTTGAATGCCAGCTCGGTGGCACGCTCCCTATTTCCCTCTCCTGCGCCTAGTTGCCATGGATAGATTTCTGAGGTCGGCAGTGCAATTGTTCCCAGCACCGCTCCCATTAAGCCGAGGATGAGCAAATCATCCCCCTCGTACTGTACTTTAATTTCCAGAAATTCTTTGTTCGTTTGTTTGCTTAAATTATTTCTCTAATTTAAAGAAACAATGCAGCCTCACAAAGCCATGGCCCGAATCTCCCAAGTAACCCTGCTGTGGTTCATTACTTTTACGCTRGTTAACAAGGAAGGTAATTTCCCTAAGGTTTAATAGAAAATCTTCTTTCCAGGACGCAGCGAGGCAGGACGTTTTAACAAACTTACTGCTGCACTGCAATTATGGCGCCAGTGAGGGATATCCTCGCCAAGGCACAAGACCTCCTCAGGGGTCCAGCGTAAAATCAGGTACCCTAAACAGGGTTTTCTTCCCTCAAAATGGAGACTTGGTTAAGACTGTGTGTACTATGCCCTCAGTTGGCAAGCAAGCACTCCAAAATGGGGCAACAAATGCAAAAATCAGGTGTTTGATGCTTGCTCGGCAGCCACCCCTGCCTTCTGCTGGGTGCCTTTCTCAATAGCTCTGTAAATCTCTTTGCATGACAAAACACGTTATAATGAAGCCTTAATCTGCTGGTGGTGCCCTGCACTGTCACATGGGTCTCCTGAAGGTCTCGCAGGAAGGATGGTCATGAGTGTGTGAGGAGAAGACCCTGCTCTTTGCACAGCACAAACCGGTGCAAGCCCACCAGGAGCCTCCAAGGTGCGAACCCAACACAGCTCAGAGACATAACAGCTCAGAAACCCGCTGAAAAACCAGCAAGCACCTCAAACCTCCCAGCAAAGCTCCCTCGTGACCCAGGTGAACTGCACCGAGGAGTTCATGCACCGCTGCCGCAACCCCTCTTACCGTGCAACGGCGTCAAACGCCAGCCAAGCTCACCAAGCAGCTCTTGGGACAACCTCATGCCAACGCCTTGGCACGTAGTTTCTTCTCCTCTCCATGCCCGCGCTGGGTGAGAAGCCCTGCTGGCCACTCTGCCTTTGCTTATGAGGGCATTTGCCCTACAAGTACTTCTGTRGCCCTGTTAATGTTATCTGTACAACAGGATTTGTGAAGCAACACCTCCAGATGTTTGCACACAGAGCCTGCTCTCTTATCCAGCCCAGGAGCCGTGATAATACCAGGTGCCTCGGCCTCACCACATAAATAATAAATAATAGCCTGGCTAATCACAAACAGCCAGAGAACAACCTAGAGATTCCCACAGACTCCCTGCTGCAGGAAAGGAAATAAGAAAATGCCTGACCTAAGCAGAGGTGAGTCCCACATCCCCACACACACGCGCAGGGATCACAGGGACATCACAGGGGCTGTTTGCAGATCGCTTACCCAACATGAATAATTCAAGCTGCAGCAGCTTGAAGTATGAGAGCAGAGAGGAGACGGGAGCTCGCCACCGGGGCTCTTGCAGGTTTTATTTGATTAAGCAAGCCGAAGGAACCACAAACCAAAACAAAAGTTCTCAGGCTAGTGTTGCCAGTCTCTTGACTTAACTGCAAATCTCATTCTATACCGGGTTTTACCAGATCCGCAGCCGCCAGCTTAATCTAAGTGTCCTTTCCCTTTCTTTTCAAGGCAGATTTGTGATTTGAGGTGGGGAGAGGGATGGATGGGTCTTTTTTGGAGCTTTGGGAGCTACCAACAGAGGTAGCATTGCCTAATTACAAGAAGCAACAGGTCATGCCTTGCGGGAGAAAAAGAAGTTTCCTTGGAGCAACCACACCAGCTATCAGCTTCCAGGCCTCCTCCCACTCTCCCTGCCTTTGGAAACAGAAGAGGCATTAAAAAGGACAAAAAAAACCACAATGTAAGAGCTGCCTCTTCATTTCTCCTAAGCAGGGAATAACACAGGTAGTGACASAGCGACAAGAACAGCCCTGATGGGCTTGTGGATGCTGGACACTGCCATGCAGGGAGGCAACAGCTTCAGTAACAGGGCATGGCCAGAGAGGCTTCCTGATTCCTTGGGGCACGGGTAATGAGAGATTGGAAAGCCTTTCCTCTCTTTTCTCTCCTCATTTCAGCTGTTAGAAAACAKCGGCTTCCCTTTTGGGGTTTGTTCCACGTTTACCACATTTACAGGGAATGTCTCCCTTCTCAATGTTTTCCTTCATTTTGGGTTCGTGGAGCGTTCCTCCACTCTAGTCACGTGCTGAATAAGACGGGAGAGTCAGTGTGACAGTGTCATCATAGGAGATAAGGCAGGCATGGAAACCCTAACCATAAGGTGGCAACCAGCACCAAGGAAGTGGCCTGGCGACTGCCAAGCAAGCTTGGAGACTCTTCATCCCAAGAGAACTGGAGGCCTCGTGGCTGGATTTGATGAACAGGACCYACCTTGGCAGGTTTGCAAAGCTCCCTGCAGGAGACATGCTCCACATTTGCTGACATTCTCCAGGATTCGGGAATTCCTTGGAAAATCCAGTCTTAAATGGAAAGTGCCCTGTTCGATGGCAGGCCTGGGATTGCCCCAACAACTCCCCAAACACCAAGCTCTTTTCCAGATGACTGTGAAGAAAACTGCTGTGAAAAACACACCTGCTCCTACTCCCCTTCCACTAAACATACATGCATGTGGTTCTTTGCACGAAATGTATCCCATTCAAAAATCACAGCGGTAGTAAAAGACATTCACACAAGACTTCAACATAGGAAGTCCCTATTAGCTTTGTTCTTTGACCAAAATATTTAGACAAGCACCATTCAGGCATCCTGCCCGAGGCAGATGCAATCTCTCTGAAGCTACCAGCAAACAAATCTGTGCTTTCAAATTGCCCTTCAACATAAAAATATGGACTGTACCCACACTTTCTCCCAGTGTTATTAAGCTACTGCTTAATCTTCTGAATTAAAATCATCCTTCAGCACCATTGCCCACAGCATCCTTGATCTAGGAAGCTCAGGGTCTGGAAGTGATTTCTCATCGGTGTCTATGGCAGAGGTTTTATCACCAACATTAAGAGAACTTCCCTTCCATGTTTAGCATAAGCCGAGTATCACCGGTAGGAAACCTGTTTCTTGTTGGTCTTTAGAGACCTAATGCAGGCCACAAATTACAGATCGCGGCGTTCCCCCAAAATAATGATTTGGGCCTGCACCACGTCTGATCCTCAGCCTGTGTGTTCCCCACCCTTGTTTTTTCCATTTCATGTAGAGAAATTAGCTAACTAATACGTGTCTGACAGACGTTCTTTGAAAGAGATATCAAGCCTTCAAAACAAAGATGATGAAAGGGGTAATCTAGTAGATCAGACTGACCAGAAAAGCAAGGATTGCAGCGTGACAGTGGAAAGCTCAGCTTTAAATCCTCCTCTGATATTCATGTTGCTTTTATTTGCATATCAAACTACTTGCCAATTAACTGTATATAAACCCATGGTGAAATTACACAGAGGAGCTCTCCAAAGTTGGGCAATGCCAGGGCTGGGCTGTATAATTACCCTTAACTCTGTCCCTCCAGGTGTTCCCGTTCTAGATCATCCCCAGTGATCGTGTACCATTTCCCAACAGTACAACAGAACAACGGGTGTCTTTTGCAATCCCAAGGACATATACGCAACATTTCCATATCCCATAAGTTATTCCGTGTGTGTTGGGACCTCTACTTCTCCTGTGGCCAATTCGGGATCGCTGCTTCTTTTTCATTCTCCTCCGGCTAGTTATACRTGAAAGCAGCCTCTTGTCTGGGATTGCCATGTCCTTAGGGCAGACTTTGGCTCTGCTGTGGCTGAGCCCAGCCCCATTTGCACGTGGACCTTCAGAACCAGCACAAGGAGATGTTTTTCCT